TAGTTCTTAATAGGTATTATAGCTACGCGTGACAACTACGCGCGGCTCGGTACAACCGGACAAGACTTCCCGTGACATGGCGTGGTTACCAGCAACCAAGCCAAAACATAGCGCTAATACAATGCATGAACCCCCCGGCCGAGACGCGCCTCGTTTTTCTTGAAACGTATTATATCTATTAATATTAGTAGCAGCTAGAGGTTATCTAGATTATAGCCTATATATATAAGACGCCCCTTATCTAACTTAATAGTAACTAAGGCCTATTAGATTATTTAGGCTAGCTAACAGACAAGTTAGCCTAGTAGCTAGCAGTAGGATAAAGCTAAATCTACTATCCTATAGTTAACCCCTTATTAATCTACTAATCTATAGCATTAATTACACTAGTTAATCTAGTTAGGTAAGGATAAGTTAGATACCTATACTATCTATTACTTATCTAGAAAGCTATAAAAGGGCTATAATAAGTAGGCATCTAAAGCAGCCCTTCTAGAAAGGCAGGTTAACTTATTACAGGCCTAGTTAGATAATATATAGTTACATAAGAGGAAAAAGGTCTGCCTATCTCCTAATAGCACCTTTACTACTATAGAGGATATAATCTAGGCCTAAAGTCTAGATCCTAGTAATATAGATAGTCCGGATGAATCTAGGGCATCTGAATTACCTAGCAAGGCCGAAAGTTATATATAGGTAGGCGGCAGAGATAGTGAAATAAGTGGTAATAGTGGTAGTAATAGTAGTAGTAATAGTGGCTTAGATATAGGGGTGGCTTAGATATAGGGTGGGGGAGTTAAGTTAAATAGTAAGTATATTAATAATAGCTATTATATAACTTCTCTTTTAAAGAATTATTAATAATAACTTATTTTTACTATATACTTTACTTAATAAACTAATAATATAGATACTACTAAAGACAAGTTTTATAATATAGAGTAGTAAAAGGCTAACTTTTTAGCCCTTATTATAGAAAAAGATTAGCTAGACCTTATTACTAAGGTTACTACTACTTTAGTTACTAAAGAGGGCTAACTATACTATACTAGCACTATAAAGCTACCTAGCTACTACTAAGATACTACTAGTATTTAAAAGTATAATAAAAAGGCTTATTTTACTATAGATATTTAGGTTTATAATAATATTTATTATTACTTTATTAGTATACTTACTACTACTACTTTATTATATATACTACTCCTTAGATATAATATTTTATTTACTATTAAGAAGGCTAAAGAAGGCCTATACTAGTACTACTAAAAGTAGGCTTATAATACTAAGATCTAATAATTTATTAATAAGGAGGTCTATACCCTTATTAATTCTTTTTCTAATATACAGATTCTTTTTAGTAAGTAAGTATTTAATATTAAAACTAATATAAAAAATAAGATTATTAAATATAAGGCTTGATAAGTAGTCTATAGTAACTATAAGTAAAATAAATAGTCTTTATAAAAGGTATATACTACTATAGCTACTATTACTACTATATACTTCTTTTTTACTATTATTACTTTATATAGATTAGTATATAAAATATATAACTTTAATACTACCTTTTTTATTACCTCTATACTTAATAGTACTTATACCTATATTTATTAACTTATTAGTTATACTACTAATAATAATAAAGTATAGTTACTTTATAAGGCTCTTTATAGCCTTTATAAGGCACTACTATAGTAGTTTATACTAATTAAAGGTAAAATAGAAAAAATTAGCTTTTACCTAGTTAAGAAAAAAATTTACCTCTTTATTAATAAAGACCTTAATACTTATACCTTAATATATATTAATAATAATATAGTAGCTACTACTAATAAGGAGACTACTAAAAAGGTATATAATATACTTACTAAGGTCTACTTATTAAAGGACCTTAGTAAGGCTTCTTAGTTTCTTAGCTTCTAGATCTAGTGCTTTATTACTAATAAGATTTTTATTAACTAATATAAGTATAATATATATAATAAGCAAGCGCGCCAGATAAGTAAGCGCACCACTAAACTATAACTATCTAACTATCTAACCTTTCCCTTTTATTCCTCTACTAATAACAATAAAATCAACTTATAATAAAGCCTAGGTATAGCTAGCTGTCTAAGCGTATAAAAAAGATCTAAAACTTAGTATTTAAGCTATAGTAAAGATATATAATATTAGTTATAATTTAGTAACACGTTAATTAAAAGGTACACTATTATAACGTAATATTATACCTAACTTATAGAATTTAATAAAACTTAAAGAGAGGAAGCTAGTTAAGTTTATTTTTAACCTAGATTCCTAATTATTTTCTCCCTACCTTAGTAGTGTTAAAGAAATAGCTAATTAACTACTTACTAACTATAATGTGCCTCTAGTTAGTAAGCGCTAGGCCTTAAACTTTATTAAATAAACACTAGAGCTCTAAACACGTTTTTTTTATAAGTATAACTATAAGAGGGCTTAATATAAAGATCTAGATATAATAAATATATAGTTTTACCTTATAGTAAATATAATTATAAAATATAATATTATAAAGTCTAATATTTATAACTTTAATAAAACTAGCTTTATAATAGGCTAGATTATATCTAGAATAGTTATTATAAGCTCTAAAAGATATTTAAATTTAAAAATAGTATAGCCTAGAAATTAAGAATAAGTTATAGTTATTTAGGCTATTAGTTTATTTAGTTATAGTGTCCTACTATATATTATTATTAGAGGTAAAAATCTCCTCTCTACTTAGTATATAAAATCTAGTCTTTTACTTAACTAAGTTATTATAGTATTTAAAAATAGATAAATAATAAAGCAAAAAAGCCTAAATTAGCTTTAGTACTTTAATTAATATTTAAAGTTATATATAAAAAAAATATTACTTTTTTATTATTAATAGGTATAAAAGTTACTATTTTATAAACTTTAAGCTATATTATAAAAAAAATAATATTATTACTTTTTATATACTACCTTATTTATCTTATTTACTTTAGCCTTTAGATATTAGGTGTTTTAAGCCTTTAAAGCTAGTATATAGTTAAGAAATTAAGGATAAAATATAATAAAGTAATACCTATATTATAAAAGATAACTTCTTTTTAGTATTTTATAACGCTTTTAAGTAAGCTTTTATAAAAAAAATATTTAAAAAGGGTTTAAAAGTTTAAGAATTATCCCTCTAAGTATAGAAAGTATGCTATTAAAGCTAGATATTAAGTTATATACTTTAACACCTTTAGGATCCCTTCTAATAACACTACTAGCTTAGACTTTTTAGACACTATATAACGTAATAGAGATATCTTCTTAAAGAACTCTTATTAAGGATTACTTTATTAATTATTTAGATAGCTCCCTAATATATAAATTAATAGCTACTAAGTATATTCTTAAAAAAGCATTAGGAATTATATATAAAAATACTTTATTAAAGGCTAAGGTTAAAGCCTTTAAGAAGAGAATAACTTACTTAACTAATATAGAAAAACTAAGAAAACTTACCTTAAATAAAAAGGAAGTCTTACTATAGCTAATATATAAGATATTTAGTTATAAAAAGAGGTAATAACCTAGATTAAGGAGGAAACATATTAGAGTAGTAGTTATAGATTAAGGATAAAAATAGGTAAATAGTAGTATAGTACCTATAGGAACGCTAGATATAGTATATAAACGTACTAGTTTAATAAAGAAATATCTAAAGAATAGGATTCTAAGTAGTTTAAATTAATTTTATTATTTTATAGTTACTTCTTAGTTATATTTATAAGGTAGCTATAATTAGGTAGCGCGCTTACTTATCTAGCGCGCTTACTTATTATATATATTATAGATAATATACTTTATTACTTAAGATATAGTAATTTTTAACTTATTAAGACTTTATTACTTACTAACTATAAGTTATTTACTATATAGGTAAAGAATAAGTATTCTAAAGTTAATTAATAAGTCTATATTAAGTAAACTAGCTACCTTAACTAGTTAGCTACTAGTATATACCTAGATATTACTTTTATAGTTAGTAAGCTCTTATAAACTAATACTAGCCTATTATTTACTTATCTAGCTACTATTAAGTATCTTTTTTACTACTTTAAAGGTATTACTTATTATAGTATCTTATTTAATAAACTTAACCTTTTTACTAATATTAGCCTCTATATAATAGTAAATACTTTTTTTATTAATAATTACCTATTATAGGTTTTTATAAGTAGTTATATTATTTACTTTATAAGATTACTAATTACCTAGAAGTTAAAAAAGTAGACCTTTATTACTTTAAGCTTTATAAAAGTAAAGTTTATTAACCTTATACTTATTACTATTACTATAAAGTAGATTTACTACTATACTAAGTAACTTCTTAGCTAACTAATAAATATACTAATTATTTTTTTTATTAATAGTACTAATATAATAGTTAATATAATAAATCCTTTTAATAAAGTATATACTTAAAGTATTAATATTTAAGATAAATAAATAATATAAAAGGTTTATACTTAAAAGAATATTACTTTTTAACTTATTAAGGGCACTAAGATAATTACTAATAGTCTTACTAAGCTACTAGCACTAAGTAAATATAAGAATTTTATATAGTTACTAAGTATAATAAATAAATTAAATTAAAGAGCTATATAGGCTATTATAAAGAATATATATATAAAGAATATATATTTAAAGAATTTATTTTATATTATATAGGGTTTTTAGTATATAGATTAATTATTACTAAACTAATAGAATAATTACTAATATATTACTAAAGTTATTAAATACTTTAAAAACTCCTTAGATTTAGAGGCTTTTAGATTAGGCTATTATTTTACCCCTATGTATAATATTTATTAAGTTAGCAGAGCCTAAGGGGGAGTGTTATAAGGGGGCCCGTGTGCTAGGAGGTCACGTGACCTCCTAGGCCCCTCACCTCTTCGCCAGCCTCTGCCCATAGCCTTGAGAGGAGGATTTTCCTCCTCACCACCACACTACAGATCGGCAATATCACCAGTTGCCTCACTTTGTTGCTCTTGTGCTTGCTCCCACAACCTCTCTCCTTGTCGCCATATCCCTGCTGCCGGGACGCCGTGTTCCTGAAAACTGATGTGCCACTTGAACTCCATGAGGTTTTCCGCTCCACGCAGTATCAGCTGGCGGATCACTTCAGACGACAGGACCTCCAATGAACCAGAATTATGCTTTGGAATCGCGAGCAGTCGACCCATCTCAACGTTTGATATCGAATCTTCCGGCCTCACTGTGTCCTCATCCTCGTTCCTCACTAGCCTTGCTTCACCACCTTTTTCTTCATCGTCATCGTTATCGTTGTTGTCGTCGTCGCCCTCCGAAGAAGGCCCTTGCAACAGCGTCTCTGCGTACATTCGACTAAAGCTTAAATCGCCCAACCTCTTATTCAGAAACGCCCTGCTCCATGCCGCATACATGACCTCGTCGCCTTTGATATAATACCAAATATTGTCTTGCTCAAGCTTGTTGTACCGCCACCTAATCGCGTTGACCACCCGCGGCCTCATCAGCCGGTCAAACTCGTCGCTCCAACGCTTCCCATTCGGACGCACAAGGTATAGGGCACGTTCAAGCTCCTCAATGGCAAGCCTACATTGCGGGCCCCAAACGTGTTGCCTGTTCTTCGTCTTCAGCCTCGCGATGGCTTGGCTACACTACACGCTTGCTGTCATTTTTCACCTTTACGTCAGCAGGTCGCTTTCTTCAGCGATGGAGTGGAGCAACACGGACGTCTTGTGTGTTGGATGAGCTCATTGGCACGACCCCTGGTGCCGCCCGCGGGTTGCGGTCCATGGATCGTCTATCGGGAAATAACAAGCAAACAAAGTGGCTGGCTGGGACGCGGTTGGGGAAATTGGGAGGAATGACACACCAACGACATGTGTCGAGTCCAGATGTGACGGAAGCTGAATCGCTGAGGGACGAGGATGGAGAGACAAGCATGAAAGAGAAAAGTCAACTCATCACGCCAGATTACAGATGGACGGGAAGGAAGCCGTCAGGGTACATAATATTGATGGTTGAATACAAAACTACAATTTCCATCAAAGCTCTTACTAGGGTACGATAACAAGTGATATCTAAGGGAATACATATGACATCTCACAGGTACAGTGAGCCCCAGACAATTGCAACCGCTTCTCTGTCCTTCTATTTCTCCTCTTGAGCCACCTAATCTTGGAACAGCCGGGAATCCTAAGGTGAGAACTGGTCAACACCAATCGTCGCTTGCGTAGGCATATTGTGGGCACAGACTTGACGGCTGCCTGCATCGCCACTGTTCCAGGCGTTAGAACCCTCACGATACATTGACCTACCATGAGGCGGGGCCGTAGGTCTATCTGTTTCCTGTTGTGAACCACCTAGGCTCTAATTCCCGGCAGGCGGTGACGCATCTAAGGCTTTGCGCAGCGGCATGCGATTATGTACCGGTGGGGTTCGGCGCGCTACTAGTCTTAGAGGTTGCCATTGGCTGGCAACGTAAACCTTTGACATCCCGACGGGTTCCGTTTACGGGACCGACGGGAGCCAAGGAGGCCAGCCCCCATTAAGGATAGTCCGGGAGCACCAGATTGTTTACCCTCCTATGCCTCGTTCTGGTTGTAGCTAGTGTTCTGCCCTTTGTTGTACTAAGTCTTAGCATATCCCTCTCTTACTATCTGTTGACTACTATTTTCCATCTCGCCTGTGGCCTGCTGATTCTGATGGTGTCTCTTGTCTATCTGTGGTCTCTTGCTAAGTTTCTTTCCAATGGCCTGCTGGGCCTCATTGGACTGATCCTCTTTTGCCCGTGAACCCATGGATAGACACTTCCGACATAGCGAACCCGCTGTTATTATGCTATTCTTGTTTGGGGGTTAAACAAAAAGCCTACCTCTGTGGCCTTTTTCCACGGCTTACAGGCTAAAAACGCCTTGATAGATTTGCCGGCAGTTTTCTTCTAGCATGGCGGCCTCTCTTCATCCTTAGCATCACCCGCCTGATTGTTGGCGTTGTATTGCGGGTCTAGGAACTGAGCCTGCTGATTGTGCTTGGCATTTGTTTGTAGCGGGTATGTTACCGCTACAAAGCGCATGAGCTGGCGTGAGCGGAGATGCCAGTAAGTTGTCTTGCTACAACGCGGTGTCTTTGTGGATAGTTATCTAACCTCAAATGTGCTCCGTTGGGGTACATTAGATCAGTTATATGATGTTTCTGGAGGCATACTTAGGTCGTAGAGTTGGATACAGGTCTTTGGCGCAAGGACGTGACGCATTTGTGATAATGAATGATGCTGAGTGGGAGGTTTGCAGAAGCTGCGGCATGGAAACCATGTCCGATTTATGATGGTACAGGGCTATTCTTGATTCATCTGCCTTTTGCCTTATCAACATCGAACCCGTGGAAACAGCCTGAGGCTAGTGAGGAGATCAATAACAACGAAGCCCGCCACAGAGACGTCAGGGCCGTCTCGAAATGACGGGAGACAGACAAGGAGGCGTCAGCCCCTGGTTATTGCTTTCTCCGCCATAAGCTGTTTGTCAATAACAACTCTCGCCCCATCATGAACCAAGACCAGAGTCATCCATAAGAGACAAACATCAGAGTTAGTTAATCTTAGCTTATAAGCCTTCATTTATTAATATAACTATTTGCTTATCCCCTCCTTACCTCTTTCATCTAATCCTTAACATCTATCTGTCCATTTAGCATATCTATGATTTTATGTTATCTAGTTACTGCTGCCATTGTCGCCATACTTGCCTCTTATCTGTACAACTGCACCTAGCGAACCACTGCCTCTATTAACATCCTAAAGCCTGTTTTATTGGCAACTCCTAATACCGGTAATGGACCCTATAGGAAATCTTAAGCTTTTAGAGCTTCTGTAGAAAGAAGTATTCTTATTGTGACTGCTAACACTTTAAAACCAGCAAACCTAGCTTCTGCTACTATCGTCCGGATTTACACTGCCTATAACTAGCTCCTCTCCTACGCCCTTACTTCAAACGCTCCTACCCTCTATAAATAGCTATCCCTTACAGACTGCGCCCCGCCTGTTAACGTTCCCTGTTCCGCTCACGACATTTATCTCACCCTAGAAAGTAACATTATCAAGTACACTTCATCTAAGCCTGAGGACTACTTAGATGCTCTCACTGTTAACGTGCTAGTTATAGATATCCTCCTTAACCCTTATATAAGAACTATATATAATCACGTCTTTGAGTCTACCCTAAGCAGGGCTAGGGACAGGCAAGCTGCCTTGAGGATATATTGCGCTAACACGTGGCGTCCCATATTTCCATCTTTGGATGAGGCTCAGGCAAACGTGGACAAGAATAACCCCATATATACTGCTAGAAAGAAGAGGGCTGGACTGCGCAAGCGGCAGCAAGAGGCGGCAGCAAGCAGACTTAGCCTAGAGCGGCTGTGAGACAAGAAGACAAACAGGGATAAAAAAGTATCAAGAGATAAAGCAACAATATAGGCCAAGATAAATGGCTTGTTCTAGCTTCTACTATATCTCTTTGCCTGGATTCGGCATCAGAAACTATTGCTGTATTTACCCATTCGACGACGTATCCTCTGAATCCTCATCGTCAAGTGCGTTATTGTCTGCACCATAATCTTCATTGACGAAGCGACCTACGACCTCCTCCTCAGTAACCCCTCGTCTGTATTCCTGGCATCCGTGTTGTTCTTGCTAGTCTTTTCACGCTTTTTACACGACTAACTATAGCCTCTATCCATAGCGTGTCCCCTCAAGTCTCGCGCACGCCGATTCTCTCGCAGTATGGCGAGCCCTTGACTCAAAACCAGCCTCCCAGCCAGCACGATCGAACGCACGTTCAAAGCGAGAAATTCAACATGAGACTGAAGTCACAAGCTCTTCCAGGAAGAAAAGACGTCGCGAAAAGAGCTGCGATACCTTGGGGGGGGGGGGGGGGGGCCTGATCAGGGAAAGACGGTACAAAGAGCGCTTAAGGCGCAGGCACCTCGCAGGGCCATAGCAAGAGTCGCGTGTCACGCAACCGAGATCGAAAGGGAGTAGCTGCTTATTCTGAGGGGAGACTTGCGACGCAAGGTTGTGCCCCGTATGGCCAGCTTGCCCAAGAGTTCCCTAGAGCTGGCGATAGATGGGGAGCTAAAGGGACAGCAGGCGACGGGTGCGGATGTGGTTCGGTGGGAGAAGCGGGTGGTCCAACTGGTAAAAGACTTCAAAGAGCCAGTATATGAGGCATGCAAAGGATAGGTAATAAACAAGGTTCAAAGTGAAATTGCAGCGTAATGTTAGCTTTTCATATATATTAAGTCTTTTCTTGGCCACATAGGACCACAAGTTGTTAAATTATAGGGATTATAATAGTTAATTAATTGATTATGTAATATGTTGTGTATATCTATTTAAAATTCTATAGGAACAGGGAAATCCCCCTATTTCTTGGTTAGGAAATCCTAGAGAAATCCTAGCTATATAATTAGTAAAATTACCCTAAAAGTAGGGCCCTTTTACTGCCTATTCCCTAATAATTCACTGTAGGGCAACTGTATATTTACTAATTAATTTATATATAGTTTTACTATATTTAATATACTTCTTTAGTACTAGTAATATAAAAACTTACTATAGTACCTATACTAAATATTCTTTATCTATAGCTTATTTATTTATTAATTATTTTTTAATATCTTATATATTCTTTTTCTTTATTTAGTAGTAAAGCTTTACTTTATTATTAACTAATTCTTATTATTAATTTACTTTAAGGTGTATATATTAGTTACTTATATTTAATTAAGCTATAAATATAGTAAATTATAGTGTACTAAGTACCTTTATTAATTTATTAGCTATTAATTTAGTAGACTTATTATATTTAATAGTAATTTAATTTACTACTACTTCTTAGTATAACTAGTAGTTATAAATATCTATATACTATAGCCTTATCTATAGTTAAATAAGCTTCTTAGTAATAAGCCTAATAGTCTAGGTATTATTATAGCTAATATAAATAGTTAGTAGCTATTTAGTAGCTACTTACTTATTAAGTAATAATTTAGTTCCTAGTTAAGTTAATAGTTAAATACTTAATATAGTAATTAATTTATTAATAAAAAGTACCTTTTTTATAGTAAAAGATAGTACTAATAATTCAGCCTTAGTAGTTAATACTATTATAGTATCTTACTTATTAGCTTATTAAGAGATAAGCCTTCTAAGTAGCTTTAATATATATACTTATAAGCTATAATAATCTAGTAAGTTATTAATAAATAAGGTATCTAAAGTAACCTTAAATATATTATTTTTACTACCTAGTGTTACTTTATATTTCAGGTAAAGGTACTATATTTAATAAAGATATCTAAGTATATAATTTATAGCCCTTTAGTAATCTAGATTTAGATTATAATTAAAGTAAGTAAGCTAGTTAGCTATAAAGGTAATATCTAGCTAAGTTATTACTACTATATAAAGAATTATTTTTACTTTTTTTTAATATTTATTAACCTTTTATAA